TCTTCTGAAGCCGAGTATCTGAGTTTGGCTGGCAGAAGGACTCTAGAGGTGCTGAACTACATTGATATAATGAAGGAGAGAGAGAAGCAGTGACCAGCTAGAACGGCACGCAAGACATACAGAAGTTCTTTCCTGTTCTCACTGTGTTTCATTTAATTGGCATATTTTGATTTTTCTAGCCTGGTTAGACAAAATGTTTTTTTGCTGTTTGTTTGTTTGAAGTTATTAGTAACTATGGGTCTCTATCTACCTACCGCTATCTCTAACTATGGATTTCTATAGATCTCCAACTGTTAACATAGGATTTTACAATAGCATAGTAAATATAAGCCTTAGGAATTACATTTGCTTTCCCACCATATATCCATAGTATTCTGTAGTTTGGGATTGACTTTGCTTCTCTTGAAGGCAGTGGAAAGATTCTGTTTCACTTCAAAACATATTTGATGTGGCTCTTAGTTCAGAACTATTGTCTGATTCTTATCCATTTTAACAGGCAAACTAGCCTTTGCCATATGTTTGTACTAAATACAAAAATGGGTAGCAACAGAAAATGCACATCTGCACACATAGAATAAAATGTAATTTAGAAAGAACTAATCTATTCATTTTTCCCAACCCCTCCCCAAATGCTTAGTCTTCCTTCCATAGCAGATCTATTGCTTCATTCTCTGGCTGTTAATACTGACAAATGTTCTATGTGCCTCTGTATTTTGCCTGCAGACTGAAAAGCTGAAATGCTTTCCTCTTCATTTCAGTGTTTGTGTGAAGCTACAAATCACAAGAAATAAAAGTTTCTGATACTATTGTTCCTAGGTTATATTGTTCCCTTCTTAAAAAGTTCCTAGTAAAAGTGGCAGGGAGACTCACTCTGTTACTGACAACTTCTGCTTATATATCCATACACCTTTAATTATATATACATATCTGTATCTATATATCTTTTATATATGTGTGTGTGTATGCTGGCGTTAGCCAGCTGGCTGTGTGCAGGATCCTGTTCATCACCAACTGGGCTTGGGGAAAAGCTATGCTGGAGATTATTGCTTACACAGTGCAGGACATTTGCTTTTCTAAGGTTAATATGTTGTGCTTTCTCCCTTGAAGACAGCTGTTAAAAGATTCACTGCCCTTATTCCCCCCAGCTCGGTTTCTTTTCTTTCTACATTTTGTAATAGAAGGTCTTGCAGATGAAGGGATGTGTGTCACCCAGCCCTGATGAGATCCGTTGCCATTCTTTGTCTCATTCTCATCATCAAACTAGTGGCTGTGCTTTGTACTGGCTTTTATTTTTGAAGATGAGAGCCATTTTTAAAAGAGGGTCTACATTGCTGTATTAGGTTTGCACTGCAAGGTTTTGGTAGCGGGGGGGCTACAGGGATGGCTTCTGTGAGAAGCTGCTAGAAGCTTCCCCCATGTCCAATAGAGCCAATGCCAGCCGGCTCCAAGAGGGACCTGCCCCTGGCCAAGGCCGAGCCCATCAGCGACGGTGGTAGCGCCTCTGGGATAACATATTTCAGAAGGGGGGAAAAACCTGCACAACTGCAGCTGGAGAGAGGAGTG